GCTTTTTTGGCATCTAATGAGATGTTCAAGTGATTTTTATTTTTCAGTTTGTTTATATGGTGGATTACGTTGACAGATTTTCATATGTTGAACCATCCCTGCATGTCTGGGATGAAGCAAGCTTGATCATGGTGGGTGATAAAAGCCCTGTCTTCTAAGAAACATCACTGTCCTAGGAAATCAGGGTCATCGGTTGCCCCAAGCCTGAGTCTTGTCCCTGTAGGCAGAGACTGCTCATTTGTTTCCCGGCTGCCTAGACATGAATAATCACATAGAAATTATACTAACTACAATACTGTTTTGCCAATAGCTTATGCATATTTCTAGCTAACTCTTACATCTTATATTAGCCTATTTCTATTAATCTGTGATTCACCCCAAGGCTGTAGCCTACTGGTAAGGTTCTGGTTGGCAGCTGGCATCTTTCTCCTATGGCAGCTACATGGTGTCTCTCTGACTCCGCCCACTTTCTCTCTATATCTCTGTTCAGATTTCCTGCCTGGCTTTACTCTACTAAGTCATTGGCCAAAATAACTTCTTTAATGACCAAAGGTAATAAAACATATCCATACCATACAGAGGGAAATCCACATCATTTCTCCACCCTAAAGAGTTAGGATACTGGGATGCTCAGATAAGTTGGCCACTTACATATCAACAAACCTCCAAGTGCCCATATGATCTCCAAGTATCCTGGTGTATACTTTTAAGATTCCCACCCAACAGGCAGTGAGGACTGCACACAGTGGGAAGGGCCCTGACTCTAAAAGGCCACAGAGGCCCCAGCTCAACCCATGGGCTCTTGGCAGAGTTCCCTTCTAGGACAAGCCATAGTCAGCTTGTGAGCATCCCTAACAGCTAAGGCTCTGAGAAGGCCCCATCCCTTCCTGGGGCCTTGACCTCTGCTATGGCATTGTCTTCACAGCCCTCTGCTATAGCAATGCGAGCATACGAGTCATGGAAGGTTAGGACAGCCCCTTCGGGCATGGGAGCTCTCTGAGCCTGGTGCCTCTAGGTGGGCAGGGAATCAAGTTGTTTTGGATTCTTGGCCTTTCAGAAGCCAAAGAGGACATCAGTTTGGTGAAACAGAATCTGAGGTCACTCACCTCTTTGGTACTCAGACACTTGCTTGTGACTCAGCATCAGAGGTTAACAGGGGAATGGTGAGGAACATCTGTGATGTCTGCACCAGGAAGGTAGAAGCAGGAGGATTATGAACTCTGGGTCAGACTAGGATATAACAAGACCCCACATGATGGTTATCATTATTGCCAACTTGACATAGCTTGGAATCACTGGAGAAGAGATTGTCTACACTGGACTGACCTGTTGGGAACAGTTTAGTTGACTTATTTTATGTGGGAAGAACCAGCCTACTGTGGGCAGTACCATTTCCTAGTCAGTGAGTCCTGAACTATGGAAGAGTAGAGAAATAGAGCTGAGCATAGTAAGCCAGCAAGTGAACATGCACAAATTCATGTCTTTCTGCTCCTGACTGGATGTGATGTGGCCAGCTGTCTGAAGTTCCTGGCTTCACTTCCCTACATTCCTCACAATGATGGACCTAAAACTGTAAGCTACAATAAACCCATCTCCTCTAAATTGCTTTTTGTTAGGGAATTTTAATCAAAGGAACAGAAATTAAGACACCCTGTTTCAAAAAACATGATGATTCAGTCGGGCGCTGGTGGCTCACGCCTTTAATCCTAGCACTCGGGAGACAGAGGCAGGCAGATCACCGTGAGTTCGAGGCCAGCCTGGTCTACAAGAGCTAGTTCCAGGACAGGTTCCAAAACTATAGAGAAACTCTGTCTCTAAATAACCAAAAGAAAAAAAAAACCACAAGATGATCACTTCATCCCCAGGGAGTACCACATGCCCCCCCACAGTCTGACCCCACCCCCTGGGGACAGATTCTTCCAGTGGTTCAGGGTGTCCAGTTCCCAACCCTTATGAACAGAAATAAAATGTACATGTGCGGTCCACCTGTCTCCTGGGAACTGGAAGCTCAGTGACAGTTGGATGCCAGTGGCTGTCAGGGACTATTCAAGGCCTTACTGGGAGCTGAGACTCTGTGATACCACGGCTACACTCCCTTCTCCCTGTTCTGCCCCTGACATCTGATCAGGGAAAACAAAAACACATCACATAGAGGTAAATGCACCAGGATAGGATGGCGGGGCATTAGTTGTCAATGGAACTTATCCCATCCCATTCATTCCTACGGGTGGGAGCAGCAGAGCCAGTGCATGGACCAGGAAGCTTCCAGGGAGCCAAGTAACTCTTCTTTACAGCACTGGTACCCTCTGGCCCCCGCCCCTCTGCAGTCCCTCCTCCTGTCTGTTTGAAAACCTTCTCTTTTGCCCCTTCCCATATGCACTCTCACTTAGCACAACTGATGTCAGCCCTCATTGAGAACGTGGCCCTGTGCCCTCACCCTCTAGCCCCTTCCTCACCTCTGCCTCCCAGCTTCCCCCTCCCTCACCTCTGCCTCCCAGCTTCTTATTCCTCTGCTCACTCCTATCCAGGCAACACCTTCCTGCTCTGTGCATCTGATCTGCACAGGGGCTATTCACTGTGCCCAGGATCTGCACAGGAGCTACCCACGGTGCCCAGGATCTGCACAGGGGCTATCCACTGTGCCCAGGATCTGCACAGGGACTACCCACTGTGCCCAGGATCTGCACAGGGGCTATCCACTGTGCCCAGGATCTGCACAGGGACTACCCATGGTGCCCAGTTGTACTCTGTCTCCTGTCCTCTATTTGGATGCCTTCTCCACATTGGACTCCAGTGCCCGATACATATTTCTACCCTCACTAGAGAAGTCTGGGAAATGTGAGACTACCCACTGAACATTCCTTGACACACTCCCAAGCTCCTGAACTTACATGCAATGACCATGCTGGGACCACTGCTCTCTACGGACTTTCAGTCCTGAGCCTTGCACCAATATCCTTCCCATACACCTTCTCATACACCAGAAGAGACACCGACAGTCCCCTGGGCATAGGTGGATCTCACTAGAACCCCTCCTCCTAATCATTATGGTTTTCAGCAGAGGCAAAATTAGCCCGCGATTAGTATCCCCCGCCACGTGCAGCATGAAGGAAATGCAAAGCAAATATCCATATGCATGAGATACACAAATAAAATGTATAAACAAATATCCATATGTATATATGTATAAAAATGAAACACACAGGCAAATGCATACATGAGATGTTCGATGGCCACAGCCAACATGATGCTCTGACCACAGCCCAGCTGCAGCACACCTGGCACTGGCTGGCACATGCTGGCACAGGCTGGCACATGCCTCAGTGTTCACTCTTTGTCCCACCAGAGCAGAGAAGTAGATATTAGTTATCACATATCCAGATGTGTGGTTTAAAGAAATTCCCGGTTTGGTGGAGGTGACCTGCCCAGGGACAGCGTAGCCACTCCAAAATTATCAGAGCCCCGGGTTCTTTGAACATGTGGCACTGCCCTTTCCACCCCATGGTTCATGGTTTGGAGCACAAAGTGGCTGCGTGAAGTCCAGCCATAGCATCAGCATGCCAAGCAGCCAGGGCAAGGGAAAGAGAGACGCAGCCTTCTTCACTCTTAGGATGTGACTGACTTTGTCAGTGACAAAGGGATTGCTCTATCAGAACGAAGTCACAGCACCGAATCCGTGAGTGCTCCACACCATCTCTGAGAAACATACAGCCTGAAAATAAGGAGAGTCTAGCAGACCTCGTATCAGCGCAGGAGTCCGCTGAAAACCTCCAAAGCCAGTGAAACAAGCCGGCCCAGAATTGGAACGAGTTGACCTCATTGACCTCTAGAAATTGGTCCCCATTCTTTCCAAGTGGAAGGGAAGCCCCTGCCCCACAGAAAACACCTTCAAGAAACCATTTTGCCCCTGCTGCTCACACACCGTTTGCCTGCCAGGGGCTAACCCTGACCATACCTCACAGAGAGGCTGGGATGGAGCAGCACCACTCCAGGTGGCACAGTCGCCAGCTGAAAGGGAGAGGTTCTCTTCCAAGAGAACAGAGCGCGTGTACCTCCCCTGCTGCCTTCTGGTCAAGCCTCCTCCCTTGGTGATGTTGCACAGAGAGGTTAAGTAACCCCTCACAACCCAGGCGCAGAGACAACCTGCTGAGGTGTGTACCTACGGAGAAGCAAGGAGGGCCGATGCTCAGCAGGCCTTCTGGAGCCCCACCGACTTCACAGTTCCCGGGGTCATCCACCCAGGGGTCAGAACAAGGCAAGGTGGCATTGAGCCAGAGATGGGGCATCTGGGAGGATGGAATGGGACTCTCATTTACTGAGCACACACTACGTGCAAAGCCTTGTTAGACCCTGGACGAGGAGGCTCTCACCGATCTTCCTGAGGGTCCTGCAGTGGAGCATCATCTCTGCCCCTACAGATGAGGCCTCAGGGTAGGAGGTCGTGGGCTTGCCCACAGCACACAGTGAGGACTTGAAGCTAGCAGTCAGCATACAGAGCCCCCCAACTTTTGGCAGAGTCACTAGCCAGCTGGACCTGCTTCCTCTCTTGGGAGCTGGGGAGTTGGGAACAGGTGAGGTGGCCTATGCAAACATCAAGGTCCCTTCCAGACAGATACCTGTGCGCAGAGACCCATGCAGAGATTCTGCTCAGAGCTGCAGCTCTGCCAAGTGTGTGGGCATGCACGAGCAAGTGTGAGCATGTGTGCAAGCATGTGACAAGAAAATATGTCCTGCAATGGTAGTAAGACGTGGAGAGACAAAGGACTCTGAACACTGTGTCATATAACAAAACTGAGATCCAAATATCTAGAAAATTCCACCCGGATCCCCCTTCCATAGGTTGTAGTCTTCATCTGGGGTCCACGCTGCACATGTACGGCCAGGGCCTCAGTCTCAAACCCACTAGGGAACACTGACTAGTGAAGCCACTGTGGGTGCTGGGGCGGGAACATCAGGGATCGCTGTGGTGCCCCTACCCAGCATGCTCATGTCCTCCACAGGCCCAGCTGCCATGGCACACTGCAAGACGGAGCAGGAGGACTGGCTGTTGGCCCACCTGAAGTACCTGCTCTTCATCTTCAACTTCTTCTTCTGGGTAAGTGGAGGCTGTGGCACGCCCCTCCCCACACCTGCACTATGGCCGCGCTCACTTTGAAGTCTCTGTATCAAGGTTGGCTTTTCCCAAGTCAGAAACCGTGCTGGGACCTGTCCTGCCCTGCTCTTAGAGTGAGCCCTGCCCTGGCTGTGACGGCTGCAGCTTTCATGGAGTCCGTCAGAGCATACCCAGGCCAAACTGTGTGTGCAACCTCATCCATCGTCCCCTGTCTCCAGAACACCATGTCCATGTGATCCTGACTGCTGAAATGATGTCCCCTTCCCACTGAAATCCACTCGCCTTGCTGGCCATGGTCTCAGAGCTGCACTGTGACAGGGACGGTCTCTATAGCATCTGACACAGGTTTCCCACAGCGTTGTGGTTCTGTCTCCCAGTGGGGATTACCTATTTAATTAGGAACACAATGCCACTGATCCCCAGAGGGCCTGTAGAGAGGCTGCATTTTACTCTGATTCATTTGTTAAGATGGTGTCTCACTGTGCAGTCCAGGATGGCTTTGAACTGGTGATCCTCTTGCCTCAGTCTCCCAGCTGCGGGTCTTACAGGGGCTCACCATCACATCCGGTGTTTGTTGACTGTGTGTTTTGTTTTGTGGCCTCACTAGCTGTGGGAAAGACTAAGAGGGAAGGTTTGCTGTCCACAGGGACCCTGGCAGCAGTGGATGCTGTGGCATTTCTGAGTCTGTTTCCCTAGCTGGAGTTGGGAGATTAACTCTAGCCTCTCAACCTGAAAAAGCAACCCCAAATCAACATCTCAGCAGGGCTGGGCTCCAGGTACCAGGAAAACAAAACAAAACAAAACAAAACAAAACCTTCTCCCCAGCCCCATCTCAGAAACACAGGGAGACCATAGGGCCACACTGGTTCCAAGCTCAGAGTGGTTTCAAAGCATCAGGAGAACTGGCTGCATCAAATACTATCTGTTAAAATAAAGGACATAGTATTTGCTTAAATACATTTGGTAAAGTTTCTGGGAACAAAAACTAAAATGACTTTGGCTTTGATCTTCCCAGGAAAGAGTTTTCTGGAACAGGGAGGCCCAGGGGTACAGCTCCTGGAAAATTACGCTCTGCCCTAGGATGGAGGACTGGGCTACACGTAGAGATCTGACCAGAGATAAATCAGTTAGGGCACTTAGAGTTCCTGCAGAGAAAGCAACCTCACTCCCTCCCCCTCCCCTTTTCTTCCTTTTTTGGATATTTTAAGGTTTGTTGTTGTTTTGTTTTGTGACAGGGTCTCATCCTGTAACCCAGGCTGTCCTCAGACACATTGTGACAATCCTCTTAGCTTTAGCTGTGATGGCATGCATGTGCCACCATGCCTGGGTCAAAGTTTTCTTTGTAAGACTTTTCCTGACCATAAAGGTCTCCTGTGTCCACTCCAGATAATCTCCAAAAGACAGACAAGCATAAAAACATTAATGACCGACATCTGACTATCTTGGTCTCCTAGGGTGACAGGACAAAGCGTCACAGTCTGCAGTTGGGGTGGCGTTAAACAGCAGGAATTGTGTTTACTCGCTGTTCTAGGCCTAGAAGTCTGTGATGCCGCAGGATTCTCAGGTCCCTCAAACTGAATTTACCAGGGAGGGAATGTTCAGAGCATAAACTCCTTCTCCACAGAAAAGGTTCCTTCCTATTTGAGACACTCCGAAGTCTAATTGTTGTGACTTACCTGAACCCCAGTCATAAGACCAAGGCAGTGTCTGCACGCCTCCCACCCTGGGGTCACCACAATTTCTGCCTTCCTGAAGGAATTATAAGACAGGGCAATGGGCAAGAGGCTATATTTGCATACCCTTTCAGCCTGTTGCCCCTTTAGCCTCCAAACACAGAAGCTAGCACAGAGCAGGGCCCATCCATTCAGGCTAGGAGTGCAATAAAACAAACTCCCTCTTTCATGAATGCGAAGTGTCTTTTGAGTGTAGGTCTTCATTGCAGGGCTCTGCCAAAGCCAGCATGGAGCAAAGAGCCCAGGATGCCATCATGGTGATCATAACAGCCAGCATTGAAAGATTCTGCATAGGTCACCCCAGTGCCCTTCCATTCAACTATAGTAGTCAGTGTTACTAGTGTCCTTATTGTGTAACGGGGACCTGGCTCACCAAGCCAGTCACTGACAGTCGTCTTAGTTATTTTATTGCTGCGAAGAGACAATGTGACCAAAGCAACTTATAGAAGAAAGAGTTTATTTGGAACTTACAGTTTCAGAGGGTGAGTCCATGACCATCACAGTAGAGAACATGGCTGCAGGCAAGCAGGCATAGTTCTAGAGCAGGAGCTGAGTGCTTACATCCTGATCCATACACAGGAAGCAGAAAGAGCTAACTGGGAACGGGTGGGCTTTTGAAACCTCAAAACCCACCCCCAGTGACACATCTCTTCCAACAAGGCCACACTTCCTAATCCTTCCTAAATAGTTGCACCAACTAAATCGTTCAAACATGCGAGCCAATGGGAGACTTTCTCATTCAAACTTCCCACAACAATCAAGCTTCTAGGCAGATTACTTACTCTCATGTTGTTGTTACGTACATGGAAGGGGGATGCCTGAACAGTACGAATTAGAACTTGCCGTTATGGAAATGTCTTGCATGGTTGAGGGTCTGTACCGATGCCCTGCTGGGATGGGATGAGCTGGCAATCGCCATCTCTTCAGCGGCTTCCTCCCCATTCCTAGTACTGGGCTTAGAGCTTCTGGCATCGCGACCTGGGTAGAAAACAAGGGATGTAATGTTGTTTTTGAAGAGAATCTTGCCTGCACGGGGTGTGATGCCCCCTGAGACTTTGCTCTTTGTGAATAGCACTCTCCTTATCACGTGCAGACCACAGTCCTGAGTGCCCACATCCCACAGAGCCCACTCTACGCACCCGGCAGGACTCGGGCACCGCCCTTCTGTCACCCTGCCCCTGAGGCCTCCTGGGATGAGTCTAGTCAGGGATCACTGATGCCACCATTGACATACCTCCTGGGTGACCCTGAGCAGCACACATGCCCAGCTTTCCTGCATGGCTGGCAAAGAAAGCTGCACTTTTCTCCTCGTTCTCCCTTCCCCCTCTGGCGCCCCCCCTCCCCCCGCTTCCTCACGCAGCTCCTGTCACCCCTTTATTGTTCTCTAATTTATTATTTTAATTAGCTGCTTGGCTGTGTTAATAATCAAACTGTTCCCAACCTCCCAGAAGCTCTGCCAGGCTATGGGAGGAGCCTGGGAATGCTGCCTCATCTCACAGCCTGTCCTGCCTTGAGGGTCCACCTGGGCTTTGGTGCTACCAATGGGAACCTCTTTAAAGGAACACAGGTGACTGAGTAGATGCCCAAGTGGGTAAGAACACTTGCTGTGTAACCATGAGGACCTGAGTTTAAATACACAGCGCTTATGTACAAAGCTAGTCAGAGAGGCAGGCTGGAAACAAGAGACTCACAGAGCTTGCTTGCTGCAGGCTAGCTCCAGGTTGAATGTGAGATCCCGTCACATGGGTAGAAGGGAAGCGTGGGACATCTGGAGCCCTCCTGTGGCCTTCAAGTGGGCATGCGCACCTTCACACACACACACACACACACACACACACACACACACACACACACAGAGACAGACTCAGGGCTGAGAAGAGGCACTGAAGAAACATAGGAGACTTGAGCGCCATCTTCAGGGAAGGTTGGAGAACATTCCCTCAGCAGACCCTCACTTGAGATCTAAGCACTTACTCCTGCCCAGCTCCACGTGGCCTCAGGTTCTGGAGTCCAGGAGGGTGGAAAGCTAACTGAAGGGGGCCTCACCTAAGCAGCATTGGGGAAGCCATTTCCTGCACACGAGCAGGAATTTTCAGTGAAGCAGCAATTTGAGGGTATTGCAGGATTTGCCTCTTGGGTCTGGTGTCAAGGCCCTATTTGGGGTGAGTTTGTTCACAACTCACAATACGGCATCATCCAATGGGACAGTAAAATTCCTGGTGTGGTCTCTCTAGTTGTGTGAGCACAGAAATGTCGCTTCTGTTTGGGCCAAATTCCTCCCTCTAGAATATGAAATTTCCTTTTTATTTTCCCTTTCTCCATCCCGCCTCCCTCCCTTCTTCCCTTCCTCCCTTCCTGTCTTTCTTTCTTTCTCTTTTCCTTCCTCCCTCCTTTCTTCTCTTCCTTCCCTAACAGCATCCACCCTCACTCTAGATCTCCCTGGGATACAGGGGAAGATGACGATGAATCAAGAGGCTAAAGGGGAGCTATTCAGTGTAGTGAGTGAAGAACCCTCCTGTGAGGACCGTAACTATAGAAACACGCACGCACGAGGCTTGCTGCTGATGGGGGGTGAACCATTTGCTGGTGTTGGGTACGGCTGACTCCAAACCAGGTTTCTTCCGGCTTCTTTGGAAGGTGAGGCGGTTTGTGACCCTGCAGCTCCAACCCTCTGGGTACTGTGAGAGTTTGCACTCAAGGGGCAGATGTGGCTCAAGATGAGAGGCTCAGCAAGACGTTCGTTCATTTCTTCATATTTAAAACCACGCAGCTGTGAGGAGCTGCAGGTAGGAAGCCACCCTGGGCCTGCACGAAACAAGCCCATCCTTACAAAGTCTCTCCCGCAGAACTGGTCCAGAGCCAACAAACAGCCAATAGGACTTGCACCTGGGCAGAGCTAGGAGAGGAGCCTACCTGGTGTTTGAGAAGTGTCTGTCCTTCTACAACTAGGAGGCTCCAAGCTCAAGCGGTCCTGGAGTACCACTGACTTCCTGTGTGCCCTGGGTTCAACCAGTGCTGTAAGAACTGAAGCTGTTGCTAGAGATCCCTCTGCAGTGAGGGGAGTGGGAATGCTTGCCTTAAAGGTGGCCTAACTGGGATATATCAGGACTGGAGGTAGAGCACCTGCCTAGCGTATGCAAGGCCCTTGATTCCATCTTTGTGTGGCCCCTCAAACCCTAGAGAAAGAGACCAAAGCAACCAAGGAGATGAAGCTTGGTTCAGACCAGGCATCCCAGCCTGGTTCCAACC